TAGAATATATTGGGAAATAGAGTGAATGAGGGTATAGCTATATAATTTCTCCTTTTCATATTCTAGAATGGTTGGTATATTTTTTAACTTAGTCTTTTTTCATTTTTTCAAAAAAATTATAGCTGAGGGATTCATTTTTATCACAATTTTAAAGTAATATGCTGTGATTTCATAGTATGCTTAAAGAAATTACATAATTTATTAATTAAAGTGGTACTAAGGGAAATGTCCCAGTGCTAATGTATAAACATTTTATATGTAATAATTTCTTTACTTTTTCATACAATAATCTTGACTTTATAATTTGAAAAAGGAAAGTATATTGTAACAGTTTGATAACAAATTTACAAATAATAAAATAGATTATGGAACAGTCTAGGAAACTAATATTTTAATACAATACAATGAGAAAAATGTGATTCTTAAATGTGAGTCAGGATTCTATTTTTTTTTCTTTTTAATCATGTGTCTCTAAGATAAAAGGCTGAAAGTTGGCAGACTTAGATATAAAACTAAAACTTTGTTTACAGAACAACCAAGACCACTATAAAAGAAATGTAATACAGCTAATTAAACTCACTGTTAGGTTTACAGCTGAAAATATATAAACTGTTTTGAAACGTGGAAAATTCACTCTCAGATTTTCATTTTATTATTAACTCATGATCTTCTTGTAAGATGAAATTATACCTTTGGTACGGATATATAATGTATTCTGTGTCACACCTGTCAGAATGACTACCATCAACAAATCAACAAACAAGTGCTGGCGAGGATGTGGAGAAAAGGGAATCCTAGTACACTGCTGGTGGGAATGCAGACTGGTTCAGCCACTATGGAAATCAGTGTGGAGTTTCCTCAAAAAAATTAAAAATGGAACTGCCATTTGACCCAGTGATCCCACTTCTAGGAATATATCCTAAGAAGCCAGAAACACCAATCAGAAAGAATATATGCACCCTTATGTTCATAGCAGAATTATTTATAATATCTAAGATCTAGAAACAGCCCAAGTGTTCATCAGTAGATGAATGGATTAAAAAAAGCGGTACATTTACTCAATGGAATACAATGCAGCTGTAAAAAAGAAGGATCTCTTACCCTATGAGACAGCATGGAGGACCTGTAGAGCATTATGTGGAGCGAAATAAGCCAGTCAGAGAAAGACAAGTATCACAAGATCTTAACTATATGTAGAAGCTAATGAACAAAATAAACGGATGAACAAAAAAGATCCAGAGACAGTGAAGCATGCAACAGACTGACATAGAGGGAAGGGAGGCGGCGGGTTGGTGGGGGGGTGGTAGATTAAACAAAAAACTTACATTAGTACAGGAAAGGCCTGCTGAGGGGACAGGAGTGGAATGGAGGGGGTCAGTGGGGGTGGAAAAGGGAACATCTGTAATACTTTCAAAAATAAAGGTAAATTTTAAAAAAATGTTCTCTGTATCTCTGAGTCTATTTCGGTTCTGCTTGCTCATTTATTTTGATTTTTTAATTTTTTAAAATGTTTTTATTGATTTCAGAGAGAGGAATGGAAAGGGAGAGAGAGCTAGAAACATCAATGAAGAGAGAGAATAATTGATTGACTGCCTCCTGCACGCGCCCTACTGGGGATGTGCCCTGACTGGGAATCCAGTCGTGGCCTCCTGGTTCGTGGGTGGAAACTCAACCACTGAACACAGTGGCCAGGCTAGATTCAATTATTGATACATATGTATTTATTGCCATTTATTTTTCATATTTTTAAAATTTATATCTATTGCTGAAAGTATTACAGATGTTTCCTTTTTTACCCCCCATTAACTCTCTCCATCCTGCACCCAATGTTCCCCCCAAGCCTTCACCACACTATTATCTGTTTCCAAGGGGTATGCATATATGCATATAAGTTCTTTTCTTATTTTTTATCTTATTTTTTCTTCTTCTTCTTAAAGAAGACACTTTAACCTTTTGTATAAAGATACAAGGACTTCCCTTCCTGGTACTGGAACCCTGGGCTGATGAAGGGGCTGATGAGGAGTTGGGACCCCTTCCTTTTCAGGGAACCTCCACAGCCAAGATATCCCTCCTGATTAAAAACCGCCAAAAGTGGGTGTGGGGCCAGCCTGTTCTCTGTCTCCCCCGCTCCCCCCCCCACTCCCCACCAGTCTCCATGTGGCTCTTCTTTAATTCCCTAGTTGTAGGACTTCCATTCAGCCAGATTTTAGCCAGTTCTGAACGATGGTTGTTCTGTAGCTTAATTGTAATTTTGGTGTGATTATAGGAGTGGGAGGAGGTGAATACCTCCTTTACTTCGCCATCTTGACAAAAAATCCAAGAAATTAATACATTATGTATTTCCGGATGCCTCATTGTTGCAGAATTTTTAGGATGGGAATTCACATGGGCTTTAAATACTGTCTACATGTTGATGACACTGAAGTTAATCTGTCTAGCCCTATCCTCTCCCATGAACTATTTTTTAAAAATAAAGTTTTTCTCTTTAATGCTCTGTGGATGTTCAATAAATTTTTGTCAAATGAATGTACATTGTGTTTTAGATATTGACTTGTACTAGATGTATACATTTTTAAATATTCATTAATTTATAAACTCAATCGTTATGCTTAACTTTTAAACATTATTAATAAAACAAAAATTAAAGAAAGAGAAAGTTTTTATTTAGGAATATATCCCAAGAAACTAGAAACACCAATCAGAAAGGATATATGCACCCCTATGTTCATAGCAGTACAATTTACAATAGCTAAGATTTGGAAATAGCCTAAGTGCCCATCAGCAGATGAGTGGATTACAAAACTGTGGTACATCTACACAATGGAATACTATGCCCCTATAAAAATGAAGGAACTCTTACCATTTGCAACAGCATGGATGAAACTGGAGAGCATTATGCTAAGCGAAATAAGACAGAGAAAGATAAATATCACATGATCTCACTCATTTGTGGAATATAATGAACAACATAAACTGATGAACAAAAACAGATCCAAAGACAGAGAAGCATCTATCAGACCATCAAACCTCAGAGGGAAGGGTGGGGGTAAGGGGGAGAGATCAACCAAAGGACTTGTATGCATGCATATAAGCCTAACCAATGGACACAGTCACCAGGGGGGCGGTGAGGGCATGGGTGGGGCGGTGGGGGCAATAGGGGAATAAGGACACATATGTAATACCGTAATTAATAAAGAAAAAAAAGTTAATAGAGAAACTAACCAGGAAATATAACTGGGGATAAGGAGTAAATGGGGCAAACTTGCTAGTCATCCTAAAATACTATTATTTGATATATTCCCATTTGGTTACATTACTTTAATAAAAATATATTTTAAAGGTAAAAAATGCTTTTAATTTAATACTTCCAAAAGTATATTTTATCCCTTGTTAGAATTGGTTAGATGCTGGACTTAAGTTATTGGGATTATTTTTTTTCTTTTCTTTTCAATTGAAATGATCTTCTAATTTCTAAATAACATTAAAATTTAAGTGTAGATATATTTTATAGAAGTTAATTTTACAGCCATTTTTTAGTGCTATCTAGTACTTTACATACTTTTTAAAGTAATGGTTGTGGCGTTGTTTTAACTTTTCTATTTTAACACTTTAAGGATGCTTTCTCTTCCTTACATACTTCTGCAGAATGTTACTTCAATTAACATATAAGATATTGTCATGCACACTTCACACATCAACCAATATTTAACATCAAATTTATATCTATAATAATAAAAGCATAATATGCTAATTAGACTGGACGTCCTTCCAGACGACTTTCCAGATGAAGCCATGGCTGGGAGGGAATCCCGGGTCCCAGGTGCCAGAGGGAAACAGGTGCCAGCAGCCAGGGGAAGGAAGGCCTACTCTTGCAGAAATTTCATGAATCGGGCCTCTAGTTAATAAAATAATGACCTATTCTACTAACCAATGCATTAATTGAAATATTTTTCTCTCTTTTATTTCAAATTTGAACCTACCCTTCACTCCTCTCTTTTTCATATGATTGTCACCAAAACCAGGTTTCTACATTGTCCTCAGATAGAAATATCAGTACACTTTACATATTTATGAATGCTTATGAGTAACTGTCTCTAAAATATTTCTTTTCTGAAACATCTGGAGAGCAAGTCACTATAGATAAAGATTATCTGAGGGTATGGAGCACATGTGTTTCAGACAACATGTCTTTTATTGGAGAAAATAACAGAGCAGGAAAAAGAACTGATTCCAAGTCTTATGTCTCTTAGTGTTTTCTTAGAGAGCCTCAAGCTCAATGTCTATCTGTGGAAGTTCGTTTGGACTGTTTTGAATCATGCATGTGTGTTGTTTTTTTATCAGATATAGATTTCCAAGTTAAAGAGTCCACCATCAGCAATTGCTTTCCATCAGATTTAGGAAAAGAATTTGAAGAGAATGCCTTAAAGCTTTCAGTTTTGTAAGCTAAAAGTATTATAGCACTGTAAATTATCCTTTGTACTTTAAACTTTGCAAACATGGTCTGGTTCGTCAGTTTTTAAACCATGATGAATGTTTCCAATAAACCTGATTATGAAAATAAAGAACTTTTGTTATGGAGAGGTTATTAAACAGATGATTGTGCATTATCATTCTCTTGTCCTAAGAGAAACCCACTCCAATGCAGACTTTTATCCTCCATTATCTGAAGTATTGGGCACTCAGTTCTACACATTTATTAATTATTTGTTTAATAAGGATGAACTTAAGGGTTCTGTTATTGTGTTGTTGTTTTTGTTTTGCAAAAGAAAAATGGGTATTGAGGCCATTTTCCAAAATGGTTTTCCCTGGGAAGTTTTAATGAAAAAGGAATAAAATAATCAAGTTAAATATGTTAATACTGGGCAAAACTAGCGAACCACAGGAGACAGTTTGGCCCTGATTTTTAGGGAGCTCACATTTGTTGGGTACATATGTCTTTATCACAAAAGAAGAACTTGTTTTGGATATATTGACAAGTTAGAATTTTTTGTTGTCAACAGGTTTGGCAAACATCGAAAAGATGACAAGATTGAGAAAATGAGTAAAATAAAAATACAGGACTCCCTTACTTCAGAAGAGGAGAGAATACGAATGAAGCAGGAACAGGAGAGGTAGACATCAGTTATTTGATTAAACCTCATTAGATAGAGGTTCTTCTTTTCTTTCTACTCTTTCTTATTTTTTTTTTAAGTATAAAGAATTTGGCCCTGGCTGGTGTGGCTTAGTTGGTTAGAGCGTTGTCCCGTATACCAAAAGGTGGCCGGTTTGATTCCCAGTCAGGGCACATACCCAGGTCTCTCTCTCTCTCCCTTCCTCTTTCTAAAATCTATAATTTTTTTTTTTAAAAAAATAATAATAATTGTAAAGAATTTACATTCAATTGATTTTTATTTTTTCTGCATGAATCCAAATACTGATGGTTATGGGATGAATACAATGCAAAAAAAGGTTCAAATGAAAGAAAAACTTACACTTTTTTTAGGGCATTAAAATTGATTTTATTGGTTTTAGTTAAGCCATTTTGCACAGGAAGTAGTAAGGCATTACATGCTTGCATCTGGAAGAAATAAAGAGTGTTTACTCAGTTGGCTTCAAATTTAGTGTTCAAGTTCCCAGAATTCTGACATCAGAATCAGAATCTATGTAATTCAGGTAACCTTTGCATTTAGGTCACACATTGTCATTGAAATAGCTTGACTTTTAAAAATTAACCTTTTTATAGAAAAATATATTTTTCTATAGCAGAGTTTTTCATATTTCCTCTGACCTCTTGAATCAGAAGAAGCAAATCTAAATGGGATTAGTTTCATCAAGCATTTTATACACACACACACACACACACACACACACACACGAATGTATATGTTTATCATGAAGAGTAACAAAAATTTTTAAGAATTTACTTATTTGCTTGAGCCAATTCAGCCTTATTTTTCATGAGAGCTGATTTAGGTGTATTTGGAATTGTACCATCTCTGAGTTGGAAAAAACTAGGTGCTTTGATGCTTGTGAAAGCCCAAACATAATGTGAGCAAATGAGTGTCCATGAGTGTGTGTGTGTGTGTGTGTGTGTGCGTGTGTGTGTGTGTGTGCACATGCCTGTATTTTGGTTAATTAAATATTATTCTAGTATTTTATTAGTAAGTGTAAAAGGGAAGTTTTTGTTGTTTCACCACATATTAAATACAGAATCCTATATAATAAAAGAGTAGCATGCAAATTGTCCCCTCGACCAGGAGTTCTTCCGGGAGTTCGACCAGGGGGCACGGCTGGCCAGGGGAAGGGAGGGAGGCCCTGGTGGCGGCAGGCAGCCAGGGGAAGGGAGGGAGGCCCCAGCCGGCTGCAGCCAGCTGCTAGGGACCCTGCCAGTGCACCAATTTTGTGCACTTGGCCTCTAGTATAATATAAAATGTTTATTTTTATAATGTTCCCTTTCTCAGGAATCTCTTACCTTTGTTAAGAAAAGGAAAAGATTTTAACATTAACAAATTGATATAAGACAATATAATCAATTGTGAAAATAGGTGACTGTAGAGTTTGGGGAAGGGAAGAGATTGGTGGGGCTAAAGTTAATAATAATAAGTGCTTTATAGAAATGGTTATTTGGATCTAGGTTTAGCTCCCAAGAACTTATGCATTTCGAAAAATGGAAAAATTCTGTACCCACTGCCAGTTCCTCCCTATCCTTCACCCCACACAAGGGTCCTGGAGAGTGGGCAATCTTTTAAATGCTTATATTCTTTAAACATTTTGGTTGTATTAGTGGTTAGTAGTATCTCTATGAATGCTTTTCTTCTATTTCTTTAAAAATTTTAATTATTTTATCTGGTATCACCACATTTTAGCATTAAGGGATGAAACAACTTTTCCTCATACCTATAAGATAGGTTAAAGAGCAAAACTTCAGTCATAGAAATTTGAAGATCTAATTAGCCCTATTGAACAATTCATGAATCAGACAGCATCTCGTCTAGCAAGTAAACAGGTACTCTGAGGAACCATGAAAAATAGAAGGTTTTTGTAGGAAACTAGGCTGGACAAGAAAGCCATTAGCGAAAGAAAAGAAAGGATTGTTTCAGGCAAGGTCACCTTCCCTAAAGAAGGTGGGGGTCTTCTCAGGCAGATGGTCTCAGCTTCCTTTGGGGGAGATGGAGAGGCCCACAGGACAGATTACCTCATTGGTGTTGACCAGAAAATTCAGACTCACTAATTGAGACTACATTTCCAGAGAAGGTTCGAAACCGCAGTTGGTATCAAGGTGAATCAAGTCTAGGTTCGGTGTTATGGGCTTTAGCATGATAGGGCCTCCATTTGGGGCCTGTGGTTTTCTCTTTAACAGGTACCACTATTGATTTCAATGTGTGTTCATCCCTTGAATTGGAAATGTGTCTTTAAAACAGTTGTTCCTACTTGAGAAAAAAATTTTAGGACCCATTTTGAATACTATGTAAGTCTTTTCAATGAGCTTTTACTCCAATATTACAAATATAATAAAAACCTCACTTAAAATTATGACTTTTTTTCTATTGATGGTTTTTACTGTTATTGCTACTGAAATGGCATATTGTACATATTTTTAAAGTAAGAAATTCAGTGAAATATTGTCCCTCATTTGGGAATTCAGCATAGACACCAAGTTGGCAGCTTACATATTGGTGGATGGCGTTGTTTAGATTTCCCTAACAGGGTAAGCTAAAGCTTTGATTGGTTGAGCCACAGTATTTCTGTCATTTGCAGAAGTGTTTTGAGGAGCAAATAGAGTATTTAATTAGTTGACTAAAAACTACTTTATATTGAACTGTTTCTTCCAATTGTCTTGTAGCATAAATTTCATTCTGCTGTGAATTTAGGTTTTATTTAATGAATTTTTATAATACTGATTTTTACACACAGGAAATACTGTTGGAAAAAACAACAGGAACTTTCTGATTGTTTCTGGGTGGCAGTACAATAAGTTTGGGTAAAATGTTTTCTAAAAGAGTTGATTGTACGATCTTCAACATCGTTCTGAAGGTGATTGATTAACAAATATCTAATATGTAGCAATCTGAAATTTATCTTTAAAATTTTTAGTACACTAATATTAGTACATTTTATCTTCTGTAGACATTAACAGCATTTTTAAAAATTAAAATCATTTAAGGTCAATTTCTCTTTTTTTGAGTCTTTTGAAAAAATGTAACATTGATAGTTTTATGTATTGAAGCTTCTTAAGTTTTAGAGATTGAAATACTTGGGGTATAATGGAGTAATTTAAGTATGCAATTGATTTTCCATCCTTAGGAGTTGATCATTCCTTTTTTGGACATAAAAAGATTTTACTTCATAGTCATAAAATAGTTATTCTCATCTTACTCCATTGCAATTAGTGATAAAACCATCTATAATAATAAAAGAGTAATATGCTAATTAGACTAGACGTCCTTCCAGACTAAGCCAAGGGCTGTGAGGGAAACCCAGGTCCTGGGTGCCAGAGAGAAGCCAGTACCGGCAGCCAGGGTGAGGAAGGCCTATTCCTGCATGAATTTCATGCATCAGGCCTCTAGTTTATTATAAAAGCAAAAATCTCATGAATAGAAATGTTACAGGAACAGAAGTCTTGTATGTTTTATCTTCATCATGCATCATCCATCTTAATTAGAGAAAAAGGGTGGTGAACACTGTGACAAGAGTCTGGAATGAAAATCATTAATTGATGTCAAGTTGGAAAGACTGTTAGTATGAATTTAGTGACAGCAGGACAGAAATTAACCTTATTACTTTATTTAGCATATTACATTATTTTGTGTATTATTTTCTATGCAGGTTCAAGGCCACTTCATTACCATCATGGAAAAGACTCTTTTTTTTCCAATTACAAATTGAAATGATAAATTCTTTTAAATTTTAGTAAAAACATTAAAGGTTTTAAGCTTTCTTCCTCCCTTCCTCCCTCCCTCCCTTCCTTCCTTCCTTCCTTCCTTCCTTCCTTCCTTCCTTCCTTCCTTCCTTCCTTCCTTCCTTCCTTCCTTCCTTCCTTCTTTCTTTTTTCTCTTTCTCTCTTTACATTTCAAGGCTCGGGAAATAGTCCATGATGGTGCTGCCCAGCAACATTAGTCAGTACAGCTATCTGTGATCATTTAAATCTCAGAATAGCCCTGTTGTTTATAAGTAGGAAGGAGTTTCTGAAAGCAATATATATTTATTTCCTTTGCTAAGTTTTGGGCTAATCAGTTTCTTTTGTCATTGTTGAGGTTTGGCCTAGATAAATAAGATGAATGCTAAACAGCAACCTGACTCTTCAGAAAAAGGAATGACTCTTATATCTTAGAGATAATTTGTGACTTCAGGGTCACAAAAAAAAAGAGGGGGGTGTTTGTTTATGGTATTGACCATCTGGAACCATTGTGGGCTCAACCATAAGACACTATCTTTTTTAAAAGTTTCCTTAAGGAACTATACTATTTTTATTAGGTCCCAAAAATATGTTCTCCCCTCAACCAATTATTCCTTTCCTGAAGTAAGTTTCTCCACAAAGAAGGGAAATATATAACATGTAAATAAAACTCTGGTTGTGTTACAAAGTTCATTTTCTCAAATCAAATCATAATAAGCAAGATATTCAAGTATAAAAGTATATAATAAAACCATTTGTGCATTTTGTTACTTCGACTTAATTGACACTAAAATTCCCCAATCTACAATACATTCCTAGTTTTTAAAATCTACTTTTGAGTGACATTTGCACAGCAAGCTTCCTTAGTGTTTCCTTCTGCAGTGAACTTTAAAATGTAGAGTAATTCAGGCTAACCATCAGATTTGGTAGCTTTGTGCAACACTTCTCTCACCTTTGTGGGCTGCAGGCATGCTGTAGTTTTAGTTTAATGTTTTCATTACAAGTATGAGCCACCAGGGTAAAGGAGGGGTGCACACAACTTTTATAACTAAATTTATAACTAAATTCATTGGTGATGACAATGTTAACAATAAAAATATAATTTCTTTTGTTATTGGAGCTTAGAAAAAATCAGAGTTTATTGGAATCTACTATAGATGTGACTGTAATGTTTATTGGATTCAATGATTAGTAGCAATTGGTAATATTATGTCAATTTGAGTAAGAGAAAACAGT